TCTGTCACGGAAGGGGGTCGGCTGCACTGGTAAGTGTGAGCTGAGCGGGGGACCCTGGGCGCAGGACTCCCTTTGCGTATCTACCTGCTTCCTGTCAGAGGGAAGAGGCTGGCGGAGGAGGGGTGTGCTGCCTGGGGCTCTGCAGACTGGAATGGGGTGGCCAGGCCCCACACTGGGGAAACCCAGGTCCCCAGGGGCTTCCCCCTGGCCTCAGAGCAGAGCATTCGTCCATAAAAGGGAAGTGCATTGGTGGACTCAATGCAAAAGCAAATGTAGAAATGAAAGTTCGATTTGAACCTTTCCATCCCTGCGCCCAGGGGAACACAGCGGACGGTGCTCCCAGCACCAAGTAACACGTGCACACGGTGGTGTTCGGGCTTTGTAGACAGCTTCCTGTGCTCCCAAGCGGGTTGTGCTTGTGTCCAGGTGTGTGGGCATGCCTGTGTGTGTATGTGTGTCCAAGTCTTTGAGCCAGCTATGTGAGTAAAGCCACATCCGTGGGTGATCTGTGGCAGCCAGAGAAACAAGCTTTGTCTGTCTCTGAGGTATCACCTGCAGGGCAGTGAAGTGAAGCAGACAGAGCAGGTTTATTTGAATGTGAAAAAAACCGGCAAATGTCTGTGTGCTATCTGAAGCTGCTCTTTTATTGCTTTCAGGTGTCTAATGATGATTTGCCTTGCTGTACATCGCCAGACTGCCTGCCTGCCTGCCTTCTTTCCTTCCTTCCATCCCTCCCTCCCTCCCTTCCTTTTTCCTTCCTTCCTTCCTTCCTTCCTTCCTTCCTTCCTTCCTTCCTTCCTCCCTTCTTCTCTCTTTATTCCTTCTTCCTTCCTTCGTTTCTTTCTTTCTTTTCTTCTTTCTGCCATTACTGGTTGAACTCAGGACCTAACTCTAGCCTTTTTCTCTCTCTCTCTTTGTGCTAGTACTAGGGGCTGAATTCAGGGTCTGGGCACTTTCCCAGAGCTTTTTTGCTCAAGGCTGGAGCTGTACCACTTGAACCATAGCTCCACTTCTGGCTTTTTGGTGATAATTAGAGATAAGAGTCTTAGGACTTTTTGCCTGGGCTGGCTTTGAACGACGATCCCCAGATCTCAGCCTCCTGAGTAGCTAGGATTATAGGTGTGAGCCACCAGTGCCTGGCTAAGATGTGATTTGTTATCCCAGGGTCTTTGACAATTCCATTTATAGTGTCATTTTGGCTGCATTTCCTGCTTTTTAGACTACTGGTGGTTTCTGATAGGATGGTAGATACTGTGAGCTGACTTTTGACACCGTGGATTTCTTTTTTCCTCTAGAGCACGTTGAACTTTGTTCCGGTGTGGGTGTCAGTGTGGGTGTTCACTTTGATCTCTTCCTCTCTGGCTTTTCCTTATCTTTCTAGGGACAGGCTGGCGCCTCACTAGGGACTGGCCTTCCTGGGGACCCCACCGGGCCCCACGTGCCTGCTCGGTGCCTCCCCTGGCTGCAAATGCTCCTGGTCCCGTGGGGTCTGCGCTCCTGCAGTTTGTAGCTTCCCAGGGCTGCTGTTCAGGGACTATATAGCAGGATCTTTCACAGGCACAGCCACGGGGCAGTGGGGGCAGACCCAGGACCTCTCCGCCCTCTCTCCGCGGCCAGAGCCGCTCCTCTCGGAAGTCCCGTCCTTCCTCACACTCCACAAAGACCTTCCCGGCTCAGGGCTTATCATTAGCCCAGTGAGACTGGGGAGACCTGCTCGGTTCTCTCTCCCCTTTTGGGCCTCAGGCAAAGATGGATCAAGCAGACAGCTCATTAACTCGTGACTATTCTCTTGCGATCACAATTCGGTGTTGCTCAATTTTGGAAAAGCAGTTGATTCGCACGTGTTCAGCATTCAGCGTGCAGCTTCTGGGCAGCCACACCGCGGGGAGGAAGGAACACAGTAGCCAGTTCTCTTTTTATTGTTATGCATTTGCTTATGTGAGACAGGGCCTCACCTCGGTATATAGCCCAGGATGGCTTTGAACTCGTGACTTTCCTGATTCAGTCTCCTGGATCAGGGGTTAGGTGGACAGGGACTGGAGGCAGAGGCCTTGGGCCTGGGGTCACACAGAGCCAGGGCGAGGCTGGCTGAGCAGGCAGAAGGGTGAGAAGCCGCCCTGGGTCCCATCCTTGCCCCTTCAGGATAGAACTCAAGTACTTGGGTCTGTATACCCGGTCACACTCCTTCCCTCCCTCCCTAAAAGAAGAAAGGGGAAATATCACAGGGGACTTCCAGGCTGTCCTGCAGGGAGATGGGTGCTGACACAGCAAGGCAGGCGGCCAGCAAGAGGTAGCTAGGCCGTGTGTGTGTGTGTGTGTGTGTGTGTGTGTGTGTGTGTACATGTGTGTACATGTGTGTACATGCATGCATGCACAAGCTTAGGGCTACTAAGCTGAAGCGGACTGAGAGAGGCCCAGCCTTGGAGCAGGGGTCTGTGACCCAGCTGATCCAACCTTAGTTTCCATCTGCCTGGGGATGCACCCAGAATGCCCTCCACAGCTCCCTCCTGGCCCACCAGAGTACCAGCGGGAGGAAGCCCACGGGGGTCTCCGGGCTCCAGTTCTGGATGGGACCGGAGGAGGGACTGGGTGGGTATGGGATGTAGAGACCCAAGACCATGGGTCTCCCTCTACCCACCTGTGGATGTGAGAGTCAGGGATCCAGGTGGGGCCTCAGGTAAGACATCAGCTCTCTGGAGAGTCTAATCAATCTCTGCCAACGACTGTGGGCCTGGGCTGAGATGAGGGGCTGGCAGCCAACAGGTGACAGTCAAGTGACCTGGGTCTGGCTCCTGTATCTCATCTTGTCAGTGTTCAGTGTCCTTGAAACAGCCTGGCTGGTGGTGAGTGTAAGCTATTAAGAGATGGATGAATGAATGAGTGAGTGACTGAGTGTGTGAGCAAGGAGCTGAGGGAGGGGCTGAATGGGCAAGCGACTGGATGAATGAGTGGCCGGTGGCTGTGGCCTGGGCCAGGCGTCCGCCCCTTCTCCCTGTGCACACAACAAACACAACACTGTCACCTGGAAGGGTTGCATTTCTTTCCACCTCGGCCATCTCTTTGTGGTTACTTCTGATGCACATGTCAGATTGGTTTAATAGGTAATAAAATGGCGTTTTTCTTTCTGCTTTAACACAGAAGTCTTCAACACAATGTAATGGGTTGTTAGATCATAAAGGTTATATGTTTAAGAATCACATTTTCGTTCTCTTTAAGTATATGAACAAGCGGTTACCATTCAACGTGTCAGTGTGTGTTGAGCGATCTCACCCTCCATTCCCCCCATTCATTCCAACCCAATCCCTCTCTGCACGCACTATTTTCTTTACCTTTAGCCTTACACTGTCCCGTATGCTAAAGTCCTCATAAAAAGAATAAAAGAGAAAAAAAGAGTAAGAAAAGAGCAACTTTCTTCCTCTGCCTTTAGTTATTTGCCCAAATGCTATGTGTGGCTTGGGACCTGAGCAAGGATATCTTAGAGACACCCTGTCATTGGACACTGTGTTCAAAATGGACTATACAAGTTGGGGTTGAGGATGGGGGAGAAAACCTGGGGGAGAGCGAGAGAAGGGGTGACGCGGTTCAAAATGAAACTCTACTCACGTATGCTGGCAAGAGACAAATGCGTGCCCACGGCAGTATTTACATGGCCCCGTATAACGATTCAGCCCAGGTATTGACAGAGAATAGATTAAAAAATGGACTAGAAACACAATGGCGTGTTGAGGGACAAGTATATGGGGTTAAGTCAAGTCAACTACTTGTTTTCTTCCATCCATGGCTCTGCTAGAATACTAGCTACTTGGAAGGCAGACTAGGGAAGCTCACATGTTAAAGGCAATGTAGGCCAAAAGTTTTCAAGAGTCAGCCAGTGAAAAGCTGGACAAGGCCAATCACACCTGTCACAGTGTAAACAGGGGTGCCCAGTGAGCTCCATGGCTGAAGCAAGACCCTGTTCAAAAAGGGGAGGCACAGAGGCCAGGCTCACCTGTCTAGCATGTACAAGACCTGAATTAAAAGAAAAAAACCAGCACTGCATCCCAAAAACCCAAAGAAGGGCTGTGAGGAACGTGGAAGGTGACCAGGAAGAGGCGGGGAGAGTCAGCAGGGCAGGTGAGCGTGATTCACACATGCTCTGTTCGTCTATAGAAATGCCACTGGGAGTCTCATTACTTTGTCCAATTTTGTTTGAACAAAACTATGAAATTAAAGGAAAGAAATGTACTCTTTGCCTGACTTACATAACTGTAACCCCTCTGTACATCACCTTTATAATAACAATAACACGTTTTTTTAAAAAAGATACCCTCGGAAAACAAACACTTGGGGAAAATGGCACAAGGCATGTCTAAAACACTGATCTCGAGGACAGACACCAGACTTAAAGGAAGCAGGGGGTAGAATCCATCCCTTGAGGAGATGCGCAGAGATCGGTGACCCACGTGGCGCTGACCCAGCCGTGTAAGCCAGAATGAATGTACCAGGCATCAGACCAGATGTGATCACTTGCCCTCAGCTAAACCAGCTGAAGTTGAGCCAAACTCCAGCTTCTTTTCTCACCATAAATACCGGTGATGGTAAGCACTCGCTGCAACTGTTAGCCTGTGTGCTGGCACCAGGGTTTGAGTTGTGTGCTGTCTGTCTGTCTAGTAAACTTTCTTGGTCTCTGCCTTGATGTGTCCTCAGGGGTTTTTTTTGTTTTTCTTTTTCTGACAGTATTAAAAGCTTAGTACCCACGGGCCAGGTAGAGAGTCCTCTCCTTTGGAGACTTTCTTTCTAGAGGGTCACCGGTCACCGATGGATCTTGGTAACAGCTGTTAAGCCACTGCACCCTGATGAGCATGATCACCAGACCCCATGGCCCCGCCAGGGGCAGAGCACAGAACTGTGAGAGCAAGCACATGGGCAGGCTGCCTCAGAGTCAGAGGCCTGGCTATCTAGTTGGATGAAGTTCAGGAAAGGCTCCCATCTCTCCTGCTGATCTGACTGGTTCTCGGCTGGGAAGGGAAGGGAGTTGCTGTCCGCGCCCAGCCTGAGACTTAGCCCTGCTCCCCATTCTCTTTTGCTTTCAGTTTTGATTGCTGTGACTTTCTGAGCCCCAGAATGGAGACAGGCCCTGCTGGTGGGGCTCCTGAGCCTGTGAGACCCTGATCAACGGCATGGAGGCCTGGCCAGAATGGGGGTCTACCCCCCAGAGCTGGGCACCCGCGGCCAATATCCTGAGACTGGTGAGTCCGGCCCTCTCCTGGAATGCCCCTGAGCTCTGACTCCTTCCCCTCCTCAGGCCCTGCCCTGTACTCACCCCAGGTGGCACAGAGCTTTGTCCTGGGGCCGGCCAGTGCCCTGGTGCTGTCCAGCTCTAAGGCAGGAGTCTGCCTTCCAGGATTGGCACAGGATGTGGCCCCACGGGGCTCTTGGTGGAGGCTTTGAGGAGTTGTGCCCTTGAGCGCTGGTGTCTCCTTGCTGCCTGTCTTGGTTGAGAAGTACCGTGTGTGCTAGGGAGAGGGGGTCCGAAGGAGCTGGGGCTGGGTGGAGATGGGACTCCTCCCTGGGGGGCTTTCCTGCTGCCCTGGGTGGGTGGCCTGAGATCCCTGGTGGCCAGTCAGCTTGGAACTAAGATCCTGCCCTGAGCCCAGCCAGCCTCCCCCCCCAACCTTGTCTGTCAGAGGGCAGGCCCAGAGACCCCGCTGCCTCCCCTGGGGCTGGAGGGCAGTGTGGAGCAGCGAGGGGCCAGCTCAGAGCCCCTTGGAGTGTGCCAGGGAGGGCCGCCCGGCCCTCGGGGCTCACGCTGTCAGGGGCGGGTACAAGGTGGAGACGCTTGCCCAGCCTGCACCTGCCGGTGGGGCCACCCAGGTCCTGGCTGGGCTGGGCTCTTCCGCCTCTGCTGGGACACGGCCAGCCCGCCGAGGGGGACCCTGAGCTCCCAGGGCAACCTAGAAGGCGCTCGGGCCGCTCTTACCTTCCAGCGTAGCTTCCTCTCCTCACAGGGGCTGTGTCTCCTCCTCCTGAGTTGCCAGCAGCGTGTCCTGGCCCAGCACCAGTGCCCCGAGGAGGAGTATCCAGTGGGCACTGAGTGCTGCCCGAAGTGCAACAAAGGTAGGGGCCCCGGGGGGCACATGTGGGGGGAAGAGGTCCCTGGGGGGCACACGGGGGGGGGGGGGGCTAAGAGGGCCCCGGGGGACACACGAAGGGGGTAAAGGCAGATCATCTTGCCCGGTTCTGCCCTGAGCATTGTGTGTCCTCTGGGCCCTCCCCCCTGGGAAGCCCAAAGCCCCTGTGCCTAGGGACACAGACAGCCAAGGAGCCCTGAGAACTGAGCCACTGCGTCCAGGAGCCTTCGCCCAGGGGGGCTTGGCAGCGCGGGGCAGGGCGGGGCAGGGCGGGGCAGCGCGGGGCAGCGCGGGGCAGGGCGGTGAGCGGCGGGGCAGCGCGGGGCAGGGCGGGGCAGCGCGGGGCAGCGCGGGGCAGCGCGGGGCAGCGCGGGGCAGGGCGGGGCAGCGCGGGGCAGGGCGGGGCAGCGCGGGGCAGGGCGGGCAGCGCGGGGCAGCGCGGGGCAGGGCGGGGCAGGGCGGGGCAGCGCGGGGCAGGGCGGGGCAGGGCGGGGCAGCGCGGGGCAGCGCGGGGCAGGGCGGGGCAGCGCGGAGGGCGGCCAGCATGACCAGCAGCTGGGGCGGGGGCGGGGCAGGAGCCGCAGGGCGGCAGGGCCTGAGCAGAGCCTGGGTGTCCTTGGGAGGTCCAGCTTCAGGACTACAGCCCCGGGGGATGGGGGCGTGGCTCAGATGGTGGAGTGCCAGGCGATGAGCAAAAGCGGTAGATTTGGAGCAGTTCCGGGTCTCAGGAGAAAAGAAAAGAAAAGAAAAAAGAAAAAGAACCCCTAAACCCAGACCCCAAAGCAGACTCCGCTGTGGAAGGCAGCGGGGCCTGTGCTCTGGGAAGGTGCTCGGGCAGCCCGCTGACCTTGCGGCTGGGGTGGTACCTGTGGGAGCCCAGGCTGGTTCCTGCAGCTCTGCCCCGCCTGGCTGCAGGTTACCATGTGAAGCAAGTCTGCAGCGAGCTGACAGGCACCGTGTGCATGGCCTGCCCCCCGGGGACGTTCACGGCCCACCCCAACGGCCTGAGCCAGTGTCTGCCCTGCCGACAATGTGAGCCAGGTAGGCTGCCACCCCTGGCCCGGCAGCCCGCACGCCCGCCTCCTCCCAGAGGCTCCCAGGCCTGTACCCACCCTGTCCCTGTCACCTGGGCCCCCAGAGCCCAGGGATCCCTGCTGAGGGGCAGGCAGGCCCTCCTGCCTCTGGGAGGGCCATCCTGGGGCCCTGGCTCCTGAGGGCCCAGCCTACCTCTGCCTCCTGCTCTGCCTCATCTGCTAGGTGACCTGGGTCACTGATGTCAGCCTCTCATACCTCAGTTTCTCTGCCTGTGAACGGGTCTAGGGGGGAGGCAGGTATCCACTGGGGACCAGCTGTCTATCTTTCCTCCCCTCTAGATGTGGGTCCCCATGTGGCCCCAGGAGGGAGTTGGCACAGCTATCTGGGTGTGGGCAGAGGAGAGGCTGGCCCTGGAGAAGTGGGGAGAGCAGGCTGCCCAGGCGGCCAGCAGCTCCTACCCCAGGATGGCTGGACCCCGCCTAAGGCACTGTCCCCCACACGAGGCCTGCTCAGACTCTGTCTCACTCCTGAAAAGGCAGGGCGGGAGACCCATGGTTCCTCAGACAGGAGACCTAGGCAGGGGTGCATGCGCCACTGCTGAGTACACTGCGGGTTGGATCCTCCTTCCAGGAATGGGAGGGGACAGAGGAACTGGAGACCTGATTCAGCCTGGGCTCCCCCCTTCCCCCCTCCCCCCTCCCCCAGTGCTCTACCCCCCCCCCCCCCCGCATGGGGCGGCATCTGGGTGGCTGGGAAGGGGCGGGACAAAGGCTGAGGCTGTAATCTACCCTTTCACCCCTGCATCCCCTCCCTCCTGCTTGACCCTCAAGCCACGGCCAGCCTTCTCCTGTCCGAGGAAGCCCTGTCTGCCTAGGCTGACTGCACTATGAGAGGACTGGGGTCCAGTCACTGCCCCATCTGCCCCAGCTGAAGGCAGGCAGGCTCTCCTACCAACCCCTGCCACCCAACTGCCTGGTCCACACCAGGGAGGTCAGGCTGAGGGGCGCGTGCGCCAGGGAGGCCTGGGCTGGACCACAGGCTGAGGGGCGCGTGCGCCAGGGAGGCCTGGCTGTGTCTCTCCTGGGGCCCTGCTCGGTCTGCAGAGCTGACTCAGAGCAGAATTCTCTGTATCCCATGGGGCCATTCTGAGACAAGGGCCTCAGTTTCCCCGTAAGTCCAGCCGCTCTCCCAAGGAGCCCACTCAACTCCTAGCCAGCCTTCTGCCGCAGTGTCTCCTCCGTGAGACTCAGGCACTGTTTTTGGCAGCTCTGGGCACCGCCGTTTGGCTAAGCTGGGGGAAGGTCTGGGAGGGGCTCCGGGCGGGGCAGGGTCAGGCCTGGAAACTCAGCTTCATGGGAGATGACCCTGCTGCCCAGCCCTCCCTAGCCCCCAGGCTGAGCCCTTCCTCAACCAGAAAGTTATCCAACGCACCCCTCCAGTTGAAGGAGACCCCCCTATCACCCAGCAGCCTTCTCTGAGCCTCTCAGTCCTTATCTTGGGTCCCAGACATGGGCTTGGTGACGGAGCAGACGTGCCTCAGCACGCAGGACACCGTGTGCCGCTGCAGCCAGGGCCACTTCTGCCAGGATGGAGACCACGCGCCGTGCGTGGCCTGCTTGTCACACAGCACCTGCCACCCAGGCCAGAGCGTGCTCCAGAGAGGTGAGCGGCAGGGTGGCGGGGGCCCACCCCAAGCCACCCTGGTCCCCAGAGCCCCAGACACCCTGACGCGATGGTCACGAGAGGGCCAGCCCCAGAGCTACCCATCCAGCCCTCACCAGGCAACCAGAGAGGAAGGACGGAGGGGAGGGACAGCGGAGGGGAGGAGGAGGAGGGCTGGGGAGGAGGAGGAGGAGGAGAGGAGGGAATGGACAGGGGTGGGCGGAGGAGGCCAGGCGCTCTGGAAGGGCTGCCGTGTGGTCAGCTCTTGTGTTCTCCCACTTGGCTCCACAACTCCGGGCAGGGCGGGCCCGGGGTGGGTGGGAGGGGCCTGGGGTCCCCATTCAGGTCCTCCCGAGTGTGAAGTGTCCAGTTCCGCTCCTGCCCAGTGCCTGCCACGTGCTCAGGGAGCAGAGCCGGCAGGACCCTGCCTCTCCGTGTCTAGGGTAGTTTGGGACCCCCAGCCCCACCCTCTGGAGCATTCTGAGGGGTGGCCTACCCCCCCCACATTCCTCCAACAACCCACGGAGCAGCTCCCTCCTCTACCTCTCAGGCACTGACAAGCAGGACACAGTGTGTGCTGACTGCCAGCCCGGCACCTTCTCGCCGAATGGGACCCTAGAACAATGTCTGCCTTGGACCAAGTAGGCGGTGCCCGGGGCATCCCAGACTGTGCCCTGGAGCGGAGGGGGGGGGGGAGGGGCTCCTGCTCCCCTGGGAGATAAATGCCCTCCCTTGTAGCTGGTGCACACCCCCCTGTACTCCCCCCCCCCCCGGGGTCTCAGATGTCAGGTCAGCAGCGTGGGGAAGCCTGTGTGGGCAGGCAGCTGGCCACTACAACCACAATGAAACCACAACACCGGCCTGCAAACTCCTCTCCTGGAGGCAGCAGGATGTGCCTAGAGCACTCCCGCAGGGAGGACTTCCAGGTCCTCCTCCTGCTGCGCGTGGGGCGGGGAGGGGGAGGGGGCTCCACTGCTACAGATGGAGAGAGGCTATGTGGATCTCAAGGTGAAGATCCCGCCCCTTGTGTTTCCTTCAAATGCCTCTCCCACTGCGCGCTACCTGAGCGCTCAGAACCCGAAGAGGAGCCTGTGTCCCTGGTAGCGCTGGAGTGGTTAGGCGGGGCTGCTCCCCCACCACGCTGGCCTGTCACTTCTGTCCTCTTGCGGGCTGCTGTCACGCTCGTGTCCAGGCTCGGCCGTCATCCCTCGGCCCTCGGCCCTCTACCCCGTTCTCTCATGCTATGTCTCCATTGCCCCCGCTTTGTCCCTCTTAGTCTCGCTGTTCTTCCTTCCTTCCTTCTTTGAGGGTCTCCATATAGGGCTTGGAAGGAGCGAGACCCAAGTCCCTTCCCAGAGCTGTTGTCCGGCCACCCTCCCCTGAGCCCCCAGAGCAGGGCTCTCTGGGGTCTGAAGGAGCGAGGTCTTGAGCAGCACCATGCCGGCTGCCCGGTGCCCATATCCCCTGGCTCCTCTCTCCTAGGTGCAGTACATGGATGGAGAAGGAAGCGGTGCCTGGAACCAACAGAACCGACGTCACTTGCTCCTTCACGGGGAGCAAGGGCTTTGTCCTGCTTTTGACCATCCTCATCCTGGCTCTGCTTGCTCTGGTGGTGCTATCAATCTACATACTGAAGAAAAGACTCAGGCAAGCCAGCCAGCCCCGGCCCCCCATGGCCTCAGGCCCTGCCCACGGCTTAGCAGACCCCAGCTCACCGCTTACCATGGAGGAGGCCGCCTGGCCTGCATGCTGGCTGGGAGCCCCTGGGCCCTTTCTGCAGCAGTCTCTGCTGCCTGGTGAGGTGGAGCTCTGGTCTTGCCCACGGCCCAGGTGTCTGGTGGCTTCCACGGGAGGATGGCAAAGTGGCCCCTTGACCATTCCTGGTGTGGACGCAACTCCCATCAGCCTCTGGCTCTGCGGGAGGCCAGTAGGCCTCCGTGGACAAGGCTGGGGACCCCACAGAGAGGGCCAGGGGCCCTGGGTTCCTTGTCTATGGCACGGTCCTTGGGGTGCCGGTGTTGTGCGGCAGGCACTTGAGCTGGAGGCAGGCTAGCCGTGGCTCACGCGTGACGGCCGGGCAGCTGGGAGGGTGGGCCCTCCCAGACAGGGCCTCCTGGGGATGCTAGCCACAGGAGCCACCTCACGCCTCCGGGAAGTTCAGCAGCTAGCCGGGAACTTGGGTCCACCGTGTTTAGGTCCCATCAGTTTCTCTGAGCCCCTCTCCTGAGGCGGGTGTCTTTGTATTACAGGACTTCTGGCTCTCGTGATGTTATCTAACCAGGTATCACTGTTTGTCTACTGTGCCCCCTACGGTTGCTGTCCTGGGGTGTTTGCGTGGGGGGTAGGTGACCCAGGAAGTTGAGGGCCTGGGCGCTGAGTCTGTGGTCAAGCTGAGAACAGCAAAATGGCTCAGAGAACCGCAAGGCCCATGGCCTGAGTCTGGAAGGCAGGTTGCCCCTCCCCCTCTTCCTCCTCCTCCTCTTCTTCTTTTATTGTAAAGACGCGGTACAGAGGGGTTACAGTTATATGAGTAAGGCAATGAGAACATTTCCTCTCGTGGAAGGCAGGTTTTTATTCTGGATTTATCTGGCGGCAGAATAGATGAAATGAAGCCAATGAATCTACAGTCTCAGAAGCCCCGCCAGCCACACCCGCCGCACGGGAGAAAGCCGGTCAGGGACCCCCGTGGCTGGATCTACAGCCTGTGTGACCTGTAGGACAGCGCCCGCTGGACACCATCCTGGGCCGGTCCCAGCTTCCCACAGCAGGAAGGATGAGTCACCACACGCCTCCCGTCCACCGAACGGGCCCCGGCACCGTGAGGACAGAGGGACAGCTGCCCCAGGCCCACGGCCCTGCTCCCCAGGCCTCCCCGGCAGCCAGAACTGCCTGATCCAGCCTCAGCTTTCTGCCGGTCCTGGTTCTGGTGAGACTTGGAGATCAGGCCTGCAGGTCATGGTTGGGGTTCAACGTCCCTGTCAATGGTCTGCGCTGAGTGATGCCTAGGGGACGTGTCCAGGGAGGACCCACGCGAGGGCAGGGCAAGGGCTGGAAGCCCCGCCCTGGATGCAGGAGGGACCGGCATGGAGAGGCTCGAAGATGCTCCAGACAGGACTCTGATGGGATGAACGAGAGACCGAAGCTTGTGAGGCGCCAGCTCATTTCTGCCCCAGCAAATGAGGCTTTCGTCTTGGATTCCAGCTTTGTCAGGCTTTCAATTTAACAGACAGGTACTTTAGTTTTTTATGTTTTGTTTTGTTTTTTGTGCCAGTCCTGGGGCTTGAACTCGGGGCCTGGTCTCTGTCTCTGAGCTGCTTCAGCAGCTTCCTTCCTTCTTTTAAAGACATCTTATTAGGGCTGGGAATGTGGCTCAGTGGTAGAGTGCTTGCCTAGCATGCCTGAAGCCCTGGGTTCCATTCCACAGTACCACGTATACAGAAAAGGGCGGAAATGGCACTGTGGCTCAAGTGGTAGAGTGCTAGCCTTGAGCAAAAGAAGCTCAGGGACAGTGCCCAGGCTCTGAGTTCAAGTCCCAGGGCGGGCAAAAAACAAAACAAAAACCTTATTATTTTTAAGGTGTACAGAGGGGTCACCATTTCAGGTAATGAGTTCAATTCCTTTTGACAGTGTTAGCAAAATGAACCCTTCCCATAGCTTAGTCCACTCCTTCCCCTCTCCACAGCTTAGCATGCTCCCTTCCTAGGCAACACCAGGCCCATGTAGTAAAGGCAGTAAGTAATCAACTTTACCTCTACCTTGGGATGGCACTCCTCTGGGACAGCTACCACCATCTAAGGCAGCAAGAGCCCCTTAGAGTGACCTTCAGGTCTGGGCAGCTGCAGGGCCCCTTATCTACTACTTGGACAGCAGCCATCAATCCTAGTCCGCCATGATGAGGCCCCTGACCCGCACATCCACACCAGGGTCTCGGCCTCCTAGCCCCTTCCAGCCCCTCCTAGACCTCCTAGGCTATATAGGTCACCCCAGACAATAGCCGGGGCTTCCTCTCACTTCTCCCTTGTGAGAAGGGGTCTTGCCGGGCCCCTTTCCGGGCAATAAACCCTTCTTTGTTCTCTGTCCCTGGATGTCTGCGTGGCTCTCTGGCAGTCTGTTAATCTTAATTTTGCTAAGAGACATTGTCCCCACTCCCTTTATTTTCCCTCATTTTGTCCCTGAGCTTCTTAGGTGCTCAAGGCTAGTTAGGCTTCACTTTCACTTTGGCTTTTTTGAAGAGCTTACTGGAGGTAAGTCTCAGCCAGGCTGGCTTTGAGCTGTGATACATAGATCTGTTTCCCATTTTTTTTGTGGGTTGGGTGTGGGGCTTGAACTCTTGGTCTGAGCGCTGTCCCTCAGCTCTTCAGTTCAAGGCTAGTGCTCTACCACTTGAGCCACAGCGCCACTTCCAGTTTTCTGAGTGGTTTATTGGAGATAAGAGTCTCACGGACTTTACTGCCTGGGCTGGCTTTGAAGCTCGAGCCTCAGATCTCAGCCTCCTGTGTGGCTAGGATTACAGGTGTGAGCCACTGGTGCCCAGTGCTTTTTTTGTTGTTCTGGTCCTCATTACTAGGCAAGTACTCCACAACCAGCCACACCTCCATTTTTCACTGTGGTAATTTTATTCATTTGAAATAAAATCTTTTTTTTTGTCGGTCGTGGGGCCTGAACTCTGGGCTTGGGCGCTGCCCCTCAGCTCTTCAGCTCAAGGCTAATGCTCTACCACTTGAGCCATAAGTGCCACTTCCGGCTTTTTCTGCTTATGTGGTGCTGAGGAATCGAAACCAGGTCCTCATGCATGCAAGGCAAGCACTCTACCACTGAGCTAACTCCTGCCCCTGAAATAAAAATCTGTTGCTGTAAGGTCTGCATAGGGACACCTCCCTACCTCTTGGCTCAGTTTCTTCTGCCCAGTATCTGTTACCTAGGTAACTGGAAGACCTGGAAGCAATCACCTTCCCCTCCTGCTAGGACCCATCCTGGGCCACCTCTGGTCACCTGCCTCCCATCCGACCTTAGGAGGGTCCCAGACCCTGAGGTCACAGAATCCACAACTTTCCCCCACCTGGCCACACCTCTTCCTGGCCCAGGGGTGGGTCGCCCCTTTCTTTCCAGCCATGCCTCTCCACCACGCACGGCAGGGGCAGTTCGGTCAATAAACGTCTTTACCTGCCTGAATAAGGCGTGATGTTCTCTTCATTGGCTACCTAAGGAAACCTACCTAGTGAATGTACTTCACAGTTGCTACTTCAGTTTGGATGTTGCTTTAGAGGTTTATATCTCTCATTATCTACTATCTATCTCTCATCTATCTACCTACTACCCATCATCTACTACCCATCTACTACCTACTACCAGTATCTATCTATCTGTCCATCATCTCCTATCCAAATCTGTGGAACCTGAAGAAAGAATGGCTAGTGGTTCAGGGAGTCCCATGAGGAGACAGAGGTTGCTAGACTGTGTATGTTGTCTGCGAGAATCCTGTTCTACATATAGAATTCACATAGATTGAAAACAGAGCCTGGAATAAGAGACCGTCAGAACGAGGAACTGGGAGCTAGGAGAAGGGACTGTCAGTCATGTGAATGGTTCACTTCAGACTGGGAATCTGACCAGTGTCGGGCGCCTACTCACCCATATGGGCCCCCCTGGACTTGACTTCTAAGCAACCCAGATCTGTTTTTCCTATGACTTTCCTAAGGAACTATAAAGAGACAATGCCATTAGAGTGGAATGTAGCACTTATGGCCCGTCAGCCATGCCAGGAATGTGCCTGGCAGGCTTTCTACAGCTTGAGATAAATAAGGTAAACTTTGGCTTGGATGAAATCATTTTTGTCCTGACCATTTGTGTGTGTGTATGTGGTGTGTGTATGCATGTGTTCCAGTCCTGGGGCTTGAACTTAGAACCTGGGCACTGTCTGTTAGCTTTTTTGCCCAAGGTTGGAACTCTACCACTTGAGCCACACTTCCACTTCTGGCTTTGTTAGAGATAAGAGTCAAATGGACTTTCCTTCCCAGGCTGGTTTCGAACCCTGATCCTTAGGCCTCAGCCTCCATAGTAGCTATGATGACAGGTGTGAGCCACTGGTGTCTGGCTCTATTTCCTAAATGTCCCTGCTGGGGATGATGGGATCCTGTGGTTGTCAGCAATCCAGGTCATGTTCTTCCTGTAAACTGCACTCTGCCCAGTTGTCACTCTGTCTGACTCTGTCTTAGATCTGATGGCATCTCACATCTGGTTTTCATACACTGGGCCCCGGATGTTCTGGATCATCACCGAATAATGGAGCTCCAAAAGAATTAAGGCAACATCTGGCTGGAAGGCAGTTTGTCCTGCGCAGCGGCACAGAGCTTGTCTTTCTTGAGCGCTGGCAGGATGAGTGGACTGCGGACCTGAAGGGCAGGAGCAGCACAGCCCTGAGCAGCTGCCTTCCTCTTGGTGCTTCCCTCCCCTGTAGTGGCAGCACAGGCTCCTTCTACAGTGCTCATGCAGGGCGCATCAGGAAGCTGGCTGCACTCAAGTGCATCTTGAATTGTGGTGCAGCTGAGGGGAACGGTGCTTCCGGCTGGAAGTAGTCAGGCTCTTGAAAGGTCCGGCCTGGAGCCCTGCTGGTTTCCAGAGTGCGCCCTCAAGATCATGCCCACCCGCGCTTTGTGTGAGGTGCACTTGGAACCCACGGGCTCTCCCGGGTTCTGCAGTCAGCAGCTCATGGCAAGACCCGTTCCCCAGGCCTGCTGCTGTGTTCTGAGGGATTGACATCTGGGGAGAGCCTGCCTCTGGGGAGAGCAATTCTTAGACACAGTAAACAGTCACACTATAATCTGTGTGTAAGTCAATTAACCTGAGGCGTCCCCCCTCCTCCTCAATGGGCCCTCACATTTCACGTGATCCTCAGCCCCAGTTACCCCAGAGCAGTAGCAGACAGCCTGGGACAGCCCCCGCACCCAGGGCCCCCCAAACCTATTCACACCTGCCAAGCTTTGGCCCACCCTGTCTGGCCTGGCCTTTCCCACAGAAACCACAACAAACCTCTCACTGAGGTCTTCACCCTCACCTGCCCCCACTCCTGCCCCCTGACCAACCCTGGTGTTTCCCATGTGAGCCTCAGGTGTGGGGACAAAGACAGGGCTCTGGGGGCCTCTGAGTAGCAAGCCAGTCTTTCTGCACCATACTTCCAGGCCAGAATCACAACAGGACAGGCCACAAGACCGGGAAACCAGGTCTAGAGGCAGGTGGACAGTCCTTGTCCTTTCTGCCCGCAGATAAATCCAGAACGAAGACTTTCTTTCCAGGCTACCATCCTGGCCTGGTGGTTCTGTTGTCTGGCTGGGAGATCCCCCTCCTCCAAACGTTCCAGGACATCAGTGGTGTGTGTGTGTGTGTGAACAAATGAGTGAAAGAGAGGAGGGACAAATGAGTGCCCTGGAGGATAAGTAGCACAGACTGTCATACAAAGTCACTCATGTTAGGGGAGGGCCAGGTCGAATTAGGGTTACTAATATTAGGGGAAGGGAGGCCCAGAGAGGCAGGGAGCCGTCTGCAGGTGTAGCAGGCTAAGTGAGTGACTCAAGGGATGGCAGATACACACAGACATACACGTTCACATGTGTGAGTGCTAAGTTCTGCGGGAAGGCAAAAAGATAAGTGTTTGAGTGAGGCCTGCAGAATCCTTCGGCAGCCTTTTTCACACCCTGAGGACAGAGTATGGCTTTTTCTCACAGTGTCCAGAGGGCATCTTTCACGGTCATTTTACCTTTAGCTCTCAAGAAGCAGAAAGGAGGGCCTAGTGTGGTCCTAAATGCCTGTAACCCCAGCGAGGTGGCAGGCAGAGGTAGGGTTTTGGTCGCAGGCTGACTCGGGCCGAAGTTCAAGATCCTACAGTTCAGCCCACAAGATGGCAGGTGGGGCAGGAGGAAGGAGGGAGAAGGGAGGAGGGAGGGGAGAGGGAGGGAGGGGGAGGGAGGGGAGAGGCGGAGGCGGGAGGGGGAGGGAGGAGGGGGAGGGAGGGGAGAGGCAGAGGCGGGAGGGGAGAGGGAGGGAGGGGGAGGGAGGGGGGAGGGAGGAGGGGGAGGGAGGGGAGAGGCAGAGGCGGGAGGGGAGAGGGAGGGAGGGGGAGGGAGGAGGGAGGGGAGAGGGAGGGAGGGGGAGGGAGGAGGGAGGGGAGAGGGAGGGAGGGGGAGGGAGGAGGGAGGGGAGAGGGAGGGAGGGGGAGGGAGGAGGGAGGGGAGAGGGAGGGAGGGGGAGGGAGGAGGGAGGGGAGAGGGAGGGAGGGGGAGGGAGGAGGGAGGGGAGAGGCAGAGGGAGGGAGGAGAGGGAGGGAGGAGGGAGGGGGAGGGAGGGGAGAGGCGGAGGTGGGAGGGGGAGGGAAGAGGGGGAGGGAGGAGGGAGAGGGAGGAGGGGGGAGGAGGGGGAGAGAGGAGGGGGAGGGAGCGGAGAGGTGGAGGCAGGAGGGGGAGGGAGGAGGGGGAGGGAGGAGGGGGAGGAGGGGGAGGGAGGGGAGAGGGGGAGGGAGGAGGGGGAGGGAGGGGAGAGGTGGAGGCGGGAGGGGGAGGGAAGAGGGGGAGGGAGGAGGGGGAGGGAGGGGAGAGGCGGAGGCGGGAGGAGGGAGGGGAGGGAAGAGGGGGAAGGAGGAGGGGGAGGGAGGAGAGGGAGGGAGGGGGAGGGAGAGGAGAGGCGGAGGCGGGAGGAGGAAGGAGGAGGGGGAGGGAGGAGGGGGAGGAGGGGGAGGGAGGGGAGAGGGGGAGGGAGGAGGGGGAGGGAGGGGGAGGGAGGGGAGAGGTGGAGGCGGGAGGGGGAGGGAAGAGGGGGAGGGAGGAGGGGGAGGGAGGGGAGAGGCGGAGGCGGGAGGAGGGAGAAGGGGGAGGAGGGGGAGGGAGGAGGGGGAGGGAGGGGAGAGGCAGATGCGGGAGGAGGAGGGAGGAGGGGGGAGGAGGGGGAGGGAGGAGGGGGAGGGGGAGGGAGGAGGGGGGAGGGGGAGGGAGGAGGGGGAGGGAGGGGAGAGGCAGATGCGGGAGGAGGAGGGAGGAGGGGGAGGAGGGGGAGGGAGGAGGGGGAGGGGGAGGGGGAGGGAGGAGGGGGGAGGGGGAGGGAGGAGGGGGAGGGAGGGGAGAGGCGGAGGCGGGAGGAGGAGGGAGAAGGCGGAGGGAGGAGGGGGAGCTTCACCTTCGCACATTTAAGGGCGAATACTCGGATTTGCCTACTTCTTAACCAAGTACAACGTACAGACAGACAGACATCTCGCGTAGGGAGGCGAACTCGGCGTGGACGAGGCTGGGGCTCAGACTCTGGGGCCCGGACGGCGGAGCCCAAGGCCACCCCACTCCCAAGGCCACCCCACCCCCAAGGCCACCCCACCCCCAAGGCCCGGCCGCGTCCCGCCGGATCACACCGGCGACGACGCGCTGTGCGCGCAGGCGCACGCATGCGGAAGTGCGCAGCCCACTTCCTTCCCAAGCCTCCGCGGAGGACCGGATTAGGAAACGAAGTGGCGCGGCTAACTTCGGGGCGGAGTCGAGGGACAGAGGCGGAGCTAAGTGGAAGGGGGCGTGGCTTGGGCGTGACTAAGAGCTCTAGAGCCCCTGGGATGGGGCGTGGCCGGCGGCGGGGGCGTGGCCGGCGGCGGGGGCGTGGCCGGCGGCGGGGGCGTGGCCGGCGGCGGGGGCGGGCTCTGGACCTGGGACGAGCCGCGCACGGACAGCGGACCGGCCGTCGGGGCCGGGGAGCGGCTGCCGCGGCCAGGAGCGCCCTGGACCTCGCCCGGGTGGGCGCGTGTGTCCTGAAGCACGCGGGGACTGGGGAGGCGAGGCCGGGCGGTGCCGGGCCGGGGGCGCGGGCCCGGCCCGCGGGCGGTGCAGCTGCGGAGCCTGTGGCGGGAGCAGGCGTGCGTGGTGGCCGGGCTGCGGCGCCTCGGCCGCGCGCTGTGCCGCGGGACCGCGCGGGACCTCAGCGGCCACGGCGCGCGCCTGGTGGCGGTGGGGCCCGAGGCGCGGGGCCTGCGGGGGTTCCTGGGCGGCCCGACCCGCGGGGGTGGGGGGGCTGGGTCAGGGCCGGGCCGCGCCCGCGCCGGGCTCCGGGCCCCCCTGGTCTGGGCGGGCTGCCAGGGGCCCTGGTGACCCAGGACTGTGGCTTTTCTTTCCAGAGCTCTACCTGGATGAGAGCAAGCAGCTCTACAAAGAGTTGGGCTTCAAGCGGTGAGGGGGGGGGGAGGGCGGGCAGCATGGGCATGGCGCTGGACGATGGCCTCTGCTTCTTACTCCTCATCACCCTCTGCTCCCCTGTCCACCGCGGAAGCCAGTGCTGGCGTCATTGGCAGCTCCTGCCAGCCCCCCACCGGAGGCCCCTAACAGGCTTCTCATCCAGGCCTTCTCTCAGCAGCTATAGTCTACTCTTAGCAGACCAGAGTACTGTCTGAGCCTTCTGGAAATCATAGGCTGCCCACTGTGATTGGCAGCACCAGCTGGGCCAGATCTCTGGTTCCACTCAGCCCAGGGCCTGGTTCCCATACCCTGCATCCTTTGCCGGTCCCTAGGCCAGCAGCCAGTACCCAGGTGGGGAGCCCAGAGACTCCAGGAACTGCTCCTGGCAGACTAGCTGCATGCTGAGATGCATGGGTGGAACAGGGCCTGATCTGGAACTGGTCTGTGGCATGGTGAAGACTGGGAGCAGGCACTGGGACTGGGCTCCACTCCAGTCTGGACCAGGGGAACTGGTGTTTCTGCAGGTACAATAGCTTGAGCATTCTGCCAGCTGCCCCGGGAAAGCCTTTGCGTGATTTGGCTGCCAAGGTTTGTAGTCCCCAAGGCCATACAGGATTGGGGTGGTGGGAACCTCTGAAGGCTTTTCTCTGTGGCCAACCTTGGCCCTGGTCCTCTCCACACAGGCCAAGGCGATTGGTATCCAGAGGAACCTGTCTGGGGACCTTCTGCAGAGTGGAGGGCGGCTGGTGGTCAGCAAAGGCGTGTTGGGGTAGGGGTTGGGGGCTGCAGCCTCAGCGGGAAGGCTTGCTGAACGTGGCAGCCATGCCCTGTTCTCTCTCGCTGGCATGCTCGCCTCTCACAGCTCCTTTGTGCTATGACCCAAGTGTTGGCTGGGGGCACCTCTCCCATCTCGGTAATTGGGTGGGGGTCAGGGCATGCAGGGCCACTGGGCTCAGCTGGCCAGACTAACTTCCTCCTCTTGGCACTGGGGTGCAAAGCACAGGCCAGCTTTCAGGGTGCCCTGACCGCCTGCCTGCTGTCACAGGTGGTGGCAAGGTGCTGCTGCACTTCATCCAGAAGTCTCCAGGCGACTGTGTCCCCCAGGAGAGCATCCTGCAGGCCCTGGCATCTCTGCAGAGGTCTGTGCCAGCCAGCCACCCCCGGTGAGCTGAGACCTCGGGAGGACCACCACTCCCTGGGCCAGCATGGGGCGTGGCGTGGCGTGGCGTGGCCACACACTGAGCTGTAGCCTCTTGGGATCCATGTAATTTTGTGCTCAGTGGTTGCTGGGGGATGTAGCTGTTATTGCGGCTGTTCTCCAGAGGGAGACTAGGCCGCGGAGGACTGAAGGGCAGGGATCCTAGCGGGCTGGCACCGCAGGCGTCTCCTTTGTGGGTGTCAGGATGCAGAGGGGGCTGCAGGGCAGGGAGGGCTGAGGGGCTGTGTTTTGTCCCAGGTGTACCTGCTGGGTATTGGTGTGGTCCCCTGTGTGCCTTCCATGCCAGGAGGGAGTGGGGGGGGGGGGGAAGTGGCCTGGGGCCCTGTGTCTGGCCTGTCCTCGTCTTTACATGTGAGTATGTGTGTGTGTGTGTAGGGGGGGCACTACTCTTGGCCCCTGAGGAGTGTGGACAGGCTGATGAGGCTCCCTCTGCCCTTAGTGTGATGGGGATGGGTGTACACGGTGACCTCGGCTGACCTGGTGCTGGGAGCTGGAAGAACCTCCTGGAGCCACTGGGCCCATGCTGGACCTTGCCAGACCCTCAAGCAACAGAGCCATTAAAGAGCCCTGAGAACACGTTCCCACTGCCTCTGCGCCTCTCAGCCCAACCCGTTGCACCCACCCCCCACGCCCAGGCCCTGAGCCGTGCACCCCTCCATGCCCAGGCCCCGACCCGTGCGCCCCCCCCACGCCCAGGCCCCGACCCGTGCGCCCCCCCCCACGCCCAGGCCCCGACCCGTGCGCCCCTCCACGCCCAGGCCCCGACCCGTGCGCCCCTCCACGCCCAGGCCCCGACCCGTGCGCCCCTCCACGCCCAGGCCCCGACCCGTGCGCCCCTCCACGCCCAGGCCCCTACCCGTGCGCCCCTCCACGCCCAGGCCCCGACCCGTGCACCCCCCCCCACGCCCAGGCCCCGACCTGTGCGCCCCTCCACGCCCAGGCCCCGACCCGTGCGCCCCCCCCCACGCCCAGGCCCCGACCCGTGTGCCCCTCCATGCCCAGGCCTGACCCGTGTGTCCCTCCACACCCAGGCCCCAACCCGTGTGCCCCTCCATGCCCAGGCCCCTACCGGTGGACCCCTCCACGCTCAGGTCTGACCTGTGTGCCCCTCCATGCCCAGGCCTGACCTGTGTGCCCCTCCACGCCCAGGCCCCGACCCGTGTGCCCCTCCATGCCCAGGCCCCTACCGGTGGACCCCTCCACGCTCAGGCCTGACCCGTGCACCCCTCCACGCCCAGGCCCCGACCCGTGCGCCCCCCCCACGCCCAGGCCCCGACCCGTGCGCCCCCCCCACGCCCAGGCCCCGACCCGTGTGCCCCTCCATGCCCAGGCCTGACCCGTGTGTCCCTCCACACCCAGGCCCCGACCCGTGTGCCCCTCCATGCCCAGGCCCCTACCGGTGGACCCCTCCACGCTCAGGTCTGACCTGTGTGCCCCTCCATGCCCAGGCCTGACCTGTGTGCCCCTCCACGCCCAGGCCCCGACCCGTGTGCCCCTCCATGCCCAGGCCCCTACCGGTGGACCCCTCCACGCTCAGGCCTGACCCGTGCACCCCTCCACGCCCAGGCCCCGACCCCTGTGCCCCTCCACACCCAGGCCCCGACCCCTGGGCCCCTCCAAGCCCAGGCCCGACCCGTGCACCCCTCCACGCCCCAGTGTCTCAGCCCCCTCCCATGCGCCCCTCCACGCCCCGGTGTCTCCTCTCAGCCTCCTCCTGTGCGCCCCTCCACTCTCGGGCTGCTGTCTGGGAGGGGGAGGCGAGGGGCTGCCTTCCTGCCCCGTTCAGTCTTCAGGCCTCTGACCATGGAGTACTGGGGACAGCCCTGTTATTTTTTCCGAGGTGACCTCTGGCATTGGCCACACCTCTGAGGGCAGAGGCCAGCTGAGGTTGGGGAGAGGGGGCTTTCAGGCTCAGCCTGAGGGGAAGAAGGGGGAGGGGCAGGCACCCCTGCTCGCATGCAGGGGAGTTGGGTTTCAGGGAGGTTGTGACTTACCTCGGAGCTCAGGAGCTGCTCCCGGCCACAGGCCCTTTTCTGGGCAGAGCACCGCCATCTGGCAGCGCAGAGCTCTGGTTCTGTGGAGTCCCAATTCCCAGCCACCTTTTCTTGGGTCCTTCCTAGGAGATGCCCGCAGAGCTGCTCCCCCACCTTGGCTGCCCTGCTCAAGGACTCTTGTCTTCTGAGCGGGTCTGACAGCCACCTCACGCTTTCTGGGCATACTTGTCCAAGCCTGGCTGACCACAGGCTCCTCCTCAGTGGCCTCGCACCCCCCTTCACCCCTGTCACTACAGCAGTCTGATCCTCTGGCTGAAACTCCAGGTCCCTGGCCATACTCCCAGGCTCCCTGGGCAGCTGCTGACCGCGGCTCCCTGAGTCGGTGCGCTGTGGCCTCAGTGGGATCACCAGTACCAGGGCTGAGGGAAGTGTCAGAAGGCCCTCCCTGTTGTTCCGTTCTTTCCAGCCAGCCCCCCCCCCCGCCAGGGTTTCTGCCAGCTCACCGCCCGCCCGCCCTGTGTGCTGTGCCCTCCTGCACAAACAAGGCTGCTTTCTTTGGAAGCGTTTACTTAGTTCAAGTCTGAAGCTGTGGACAGTTGAGGAGAATACACTTTGGAGAGTGGGTGGAAGACATTTAGCCACGTCTATAGGGCTGTGCTGGGCGCTGGTCCTGGCGACTCGGGGGCGCCGGGCCAGGCACCGCGCAGGGCACCGCGCATCCCAGGCCCCGGCCAGCGGCTCGCTCCGGGCAGGCTCCAAGGGCAGGTGGGTGGGCTCGGTGGCCGCCAGGCGCGGGGGCACCGTGCAGGCATGGACGCCTCGGGGCGGCGAGTGGATGTGGGCCGCACAGCGCGGCTGCACCTTGGTTACCAGATGCGGCATCGCTCTTTGGGGTGCATGGGGGTGTCCTGGGCACACTGGAACGCTTCTGCAAAGGCAGCCAGGTTCTGTAGCGAGCCCAACACCCTGCGGACAGGTGGTAGCGGGAGAGGTGTAAGAGGCCTGGGGGAGTGAAGTTGTTGGGGGGATTATGGGTGCCAGGGCGCAGGAGGCTTGCCTGTACTTCAGGGGACTGTGGACATCGGTCTTGATGGATTGGACAGCAAACTCAGGCCGGTAGGACCCGCACCACACCTGTGAACGCACGAGGGGTGTTGGCTGGGGGCTGTAGGGGTGGAGCCTCTGGAAAGGATGCCCTGTGGCCTGGCCCCGGCTTCCCTTTCTGCGGAGGAGATGGGAGAGCCAGCCGCTCCTTGTCTCTCTCCGCTCCGCTGCTGCGGACCTCTGCTGCCTCACTTCAGCCCACGGCTCCTTCAGCAAGCCTGCAGGCCCACTGGCTCTGGTTCTGTGGGCTCGCCCCTCTGCATCCCTGCCGGCACCCCGCGGCGGGGCGGGGGCCCTCTGGAGGCAGAGGGCCCAGGAGCCCCGACGGCCCGTGGACCAGCACTGGGTGTCTACCTGAGCATAGTTGATGAAGAAAAGCTGGTTGTATGTCAGCTCCAGCCCCGGCAGCAGCTGGTCCTTGCCTCCTTCTGCCATCCACTTCAGGTAAGCCTGTGGCACCCGAGGGGGACTGGGCTTGCCAGCGCTCTCAAGTCACCGGGCCCCATGCAGATCCCCCAGCTCAGGGTCTCCCGGGACGGCATGGGGCACCTGACACTGCATCAGCCTTCTGAGCAGTTCCACAGGCGGGGCGGGGCGGGCAGGTCAGGGGGCAGGGGGGGCAAGGAGGGGCGGAGCCTTGGCCAAGCCCCACAGTGCACTTCTGCAGTGAAGGCTGTGGGCTCAGGACTTCTGGCTGGGCAGGGTTAGTCCCCACCCTTTATCACACTTGGAGATACAGGTTGCCTCTATCACAAACTAAGTGGGTTAAATGTGGGTGCCTGCCACGGCCAGGAGGCTGGGCACAGCCTCTGCCCAGGGCCTCTGGCTGGGCACAGCCTCTGCCCAGGGCCTCTGGCTGGGCACAGCCTCTGCCCAGGGCCTCTGGCTGGGCACAGCCTCTGCCCAGGGCAAGGCCTCCCTCCTTGGCCCACCTTGTACGCTTGCCGCACGCCGCCATTGTCTGCGATGTTTTCCCCCAGGGTGCTGAATCCATTGATCTGCGCGGGAGACACAGGCTGGGGGGGGGCGGCCTGGGCTCTGGCTCCCCTCCTTCCACTTCCCGTGGGGAACCACTTCCTGACTGCTGGCGGGTGGCACGCTTACGTTCTGGTCATCTGCCAGGTCCCAGGAGAAGTTTCCGTACTGATAGATCATGCACTCCGACTGCTCCCGGAAGTGCTGGGCCGAGAAGTTACTCCACCAATCCAGCATGTTGCCATTCTTGTCAAAATTCCGGCCTGCGCAGAGACAAGACAGAAGTCTCCAGCGGAGGCCACCCCTGTGCCCAGCGGCCCCCTGGGCCTCCTCAGCGAATGCCAGCACTCGGAGCCCAGAGCCTGGGCAGAGACAGCTGTGAATGGCATCTGTAGGCTTGTGGGGGGGCACATAGTCTAAGAGCTCCCCCATCCTCCCCAAGAGGAAGGCTTTCCCCGTGACCCTGCCCAAGCCCCCGAGACACCCCTGGAGCCTCTGAGACACTGGAACATCCAAACCTTCCTGCACCGACAGTGAGGGAGCACAGGGCCCTACAAGTGCCACCCAGGGGGGAGGGGGGTGCAGAGGCCCTGGGTGGGCATGGCGGCAGGTCCTCACAGAGATGGAGGGAGGCCAGGCCCGCCTGTGCCTTGCAGGCAGGCCTGGGGAGGGGGAAAATCAGTCATCAGGAGCCCTGGTTCTGCCCTGTGTTCTTCCTTCTCCAGACAGCTCCAGGGCCATTCCAGAGGTGTGGCCGCCACAGCTGGGGGGTGGCTGTCCTCCTGTACCCTGGCCTCTGTTCCCACCTGAGCCACGAGGAGGGCGTCTGGGTCACAGGGACCCCTCTTACCATTGTCGTCGAAGCCGTGTGTGATCTCGTGTCCGATCACCATCCCGATGCCCCCGAAGTTCAAGGCCTGGGGCTGCTCCTTGCTGAAGAAGGGTGGCTGGAGGATGCCGGCCGGGAACACTGACCCCCGGGGGACAGAGCACAAGCGGTGAGCACCTAGCCATGTGCTGGGCTCAGGCAGGACCTTCCCAGGGCCCTGGGCCCCCAGGTCAGGGAGCCAAGAGGAAACGAGCTCAGAGGCTGGGAGGGCAGGGAGACCCAGGCCCCTCCCCAGCTCCTTCCTACCACTCTGCGGGCTGCTCTGCATCCCTCCCTCCCCCTCCCTCCCTGCAGCCTCCCTCCCCCTCCCTCCTGGCCTGCTCAGGGAAACGGGACAACCTTTCCAAGGTGGACAGTGGGTGAAATGGGACGCCCGCCTCCTCTGAGGACAGGCTGGGCGGCAGGTGGGGAGAAGGGGTGGACGTACCGATCTGGTTCCTGTTTGGGGAGTAGAACGCGTTGACCACCGCGGCTCCTATGATCCAGCTATGAGGAGCAGGTGGGTCACTTGGGGCCTGCATCTGCTGGGACCCTTCCCTGGGGCCCATCCTGTCCTGGCTGACTAGAACCTGCCCCAGGAGGCCAAGGTCGAGCT